CTAAAACTGGAAAAAAAACTATAAATATTAAAAAAAAAACGAGTTGTAGTTGACTAAAACTATAACCCTAAAAAAAAGACATTTTCGTTACTTAAAATAAATGTCAATAATCAAATATATATATATGAAAAAAACTTTTAGCTAGTTTCCATTGCAACATTTATAATTTTCATTTATTTTAACTGGATGTACTAAACTAAAACTGAAAAAAAAAAAAATATATATAAAGATATTTAAAAACAAAAACTAATAAAAATTACAAAAACACAAGACAATTACAAAAACTTTAACTAAAATTAACATGAACGCATAACATATTCAAAATATTAACAAAAACTAAAATAACACGGTCGCCTAAAAAGAAACGACCCAAAAATCTCACATATGTGACCCTGGAGCACAAAAGCAGTCTTAAGTCGCTGGGGTATATTTGTAGCAATAACTAACAATACATTGTATGGGTCAAAATTATCCATTTTCTTTTATGCCAAAAATCATTAGGATATTAAGTAAAGATCATGTTCCATGAAGATATTTTGTAAATGTCCTACTGTAAATACATCAAAACTTCTTTTTGATTAGTAATATGCATGGCTAAGAACTTCATTTGAACAACTTTAAAGATGATTTTCTCAATATTTTGATTTTTTTTGCACCCTCAGATTCCAGATTTAGATTCAGATTCCAGATGTATCTCGAACAACTATTATCCTATCCTAACAAACCATACATCAATGGAAAGCTTATTTATTCAGCTTTCAGACGTACAAATCTAAAAAAAAAACTTAAAAAAAAGGACTCTTATGACTGGTTTTGTGGTCGCAACATACGTATTTAATAAACTAATACTTCCCGCCTTTAGGGGGCGCTGTCATTTAGTGATTGCGCAGTGACGCTCCAAAGCAATAGTAGTTTGTGTTGTTTCAGCTGTAAGCACTTAGATGTAGTTGAATTCGATTTTAAACAACCGTTTTATGATTCCAGTGAGCGAGTTTTAAACTAGAAGCACTTGTTCTTTTGTCGCAGCTTCATCTGTCAGTGGCGGGAAGTGTTGTTTCCTCTCAGGATGCTTCTGATGAAGTTTCCCGCGGCGCTGTGTGTCGTGGCGCTGTGGTGCGGCTGGGTTCGGTTCGCTCTGGGCTGTTCTGGGCTGCTGCTGTGCCGCTCCTGCGGACACGAGGTGGCGGAGGACGCGGGCCTGAGGTTCGTTCCCAGCCGCCTGGCACTGTCGCACCGGAACCACACGGCGATCGGAGGGAAGCGTGTCTCCGTTCAGCTCTTCGAGAATCCGCAGGGCTTCCAGTTTGAAGTCGTGACTTTTAAGCGCGCAGATGTGCTGAAGCACTGGCCGGCGGACTCTCACTTCACCTGGTACCCGGGGCACGCGTGGACCGTCGCCGCCTGCCCGCGGTGCAAAACACACCTAGGTGGGTGTTTAGAGGGTTCGGTATTTACTCATATGAAATACATTAAAAATATTGTAGACACTGACTGTATATACATAGTATAAGTAAGCAAGTAGAGCATGGCGATAGCAACATGAAGGTGATGAGTTCATCCTAGGTTAAAATAAAGAATTAATAGATTTTATTTATGTACATAGATGCAAATCCTCACCTTTCAGTAACAACTCAGTTTTTTTAGATCAAAATAGGTCACCTATGAGATGTGGGGGGGGGATTTTAGGTGTGTGTGTGTGTATATATATATATATATATATATATACCTTAAAGTAACTACAAATGAGCATGTAATATCTTTAAAAGAAATTCCGCGATCCTGACCTGTTTGCATCTCTGCATGTAATAAAAGCATCTGCCAAAAACATAAATGTAAATACATATTGTTATACTATATGAAACTTTTATACAATTTTGAAGTACTTAATATATACACACACTATTTATTGTTTTATGAGCTTACATTGAGATTACATGCAACTTTCATGCAATGTATTTCATGCTGCCGGACTACTGAAGTGAAGTGCAAAAAAAAAAGAAACACAACTTTCCTCTTCCGTTCAAGTACATTTGACGGAATAGTTCTCCCAAAAAGGAAAATTTGCTGACAGTGTCCTCGTCATCAGGCCGTCTAAAATGTAGTGGAGTTTTGTTTCTTCATCAGATTTGGAGAAATGTAGCATTGCATCACTTGCTCACCAATGGATGCTCTGCAGTGAATGGGTGCCGTCAGAATGAGAGTCCAAACAGCTGATAAAAACATCACAATAATCCCCACCCCACCAATCTATCAATAAAACTGATTTGGCTTGTAAATGATGCCTGATCTGTGCTGATTTCTCTCCTGATTCAGATGAGATGGCTTTTTCATTGGAGTAAGCAATATTATGAATATAACTATTTCAAGTTAAAAACATCCTGATGGATTAGTTTCTTACAAACACGCGGCTTTAGGCTTCAGAAGATGTTAACTGATGGACTGGAGGGGTGTGGATTATTGTGATGTTTTTATCAGCTGTTTGGACTCTCATTCTGACGGCACCCATTCACTGCAGAGCATCCATTGGTGAGCAAGTGATGTGATGCTACATTTCTCCAAATCTGATAGAGAAACTTCTACATCTTGGATGGTTTGAGGGAGTGGACATTCTCAAGTCAATTTTTTTATTTTAGGGTGAACTATTCCTTTAACCCAAAATGTCAAAGTAGTATAATATTTCTGTTTTCTTTGATTTAGGTTGGGCGTTTCAGCCCAGTGATTGGCCCATGACAGTGACCCGAGAAGAGTTTGAAGGTTCGGACCAGACATTTGTGGCACTCATAATTGACAGACTTCTGCAGGAACACTTTGCATCCACACTGCTG